TGTCTCCGGATATTTCCTCTAGTTCTTAAACTTAGTACTGCTCAGTTATTCCTTGCCTATTTCTTCTTAGTCCAAGCACACACTACCTGGCCCAGGGATTGAACTTACAATTATGATGTCAAATTCACAAATCAGCCTTTTAATCAACTAAGTTTTTTTTTTTTTTTTTTTTTTTTTTACAGCATATCAATATTTTATTTTTTATGGCATATCAATATTTAATGCTGACAATATTTTTAGGATAGGTTCGTATGGATAGAACATATATTTTTTGTAAAAAAATCAGTTTGTAGATCAGGTTTCTTTTTTTTATATTTTTGTAAAGAGGGTTTTTGTCAAGAATCAAATTTATTGCTGGTAAGTTTTTTTTTAAAATGTATTGCTGGTAATATTTTTTTTTTTTCAAAAATGTATTGCTGGTGTTTTTAATATAAAAATCTATTTTTATACTTTCATAGTATTTCGACCCCAGTTTGGGTGGTGGGGGTTAACTATTTACCCATAGTTGGGACCCTAACAGGGTGGACCTGGAAGCAACAGCAATTAAGAGATGGTTCCATGCTTCTCAAAACCTCCCAATCAGAAGCCTTGCTGCTGGATGTAGTTTATCGTCTAACCAGGATGCAATTGTAACAATAAAAATGAGGACAATTGTCTGAATGTAAATAATGTAAGTAATGATAGCTCCTCCTCCCAGAAATTGAGACAGAAAAAATATTCCAAGAATACTTGGTGTTTAATATCTTCTCTTTCTGTACAAGTGGGTGTGGGCATTAGGCTCAAATATATTCTAAAATAAAATGAAAATACTTACACATGCCATATATTTTTCATATTAAATTCCTCATATGTTAACTGAGTCCAGCTTGAAAAAGACCTATTTTTCTCATTGCATTAAATTGGATTTTGTTTTCTTTCAATATATTATATATATATATATATATATATATATATATATATATACCCGAGAACTGATATATAGTTTTGAAGAAAGTGGGCGTCATATCTAAGGCACCTTTCACTCAACGCTTTGTCAAAGATATTCATTGGCAATATTTAATATAAATGAATACGAAGACAATAAAGTGACTGGGGAGGGAAAGGGGGAACTCGACTAAAAACAAATTTTAATTATATAAATTAAAATCGAATGAGGGGGGATATCAATTGATATTGTCTTTGTATTCAGTTATATTAAATATTGCCAACAAATATCTTTGACAAAGCGTTGACCGAAAGGTGCCTTAGATATGACGTCCACTTTCTTCAAAGATATATATATATATATATACAGGGTGCGAGTGCTATTTAAGGTCATATTGTTTTAAGCTCACTACACACTCAAATCATTTATAATGTTTTTTTTTATTCCTATAACCCAGTCAGAGGAAGATGTTAACCCAAGAAATGAAAAGACATGCAGTCATTGTTGCTTTAGCTGCAAAACATAGTGATTTAAAAATCAGTAACTTTTTATGTTGCCAGATCATTTGTTCATAAGGTTCGGTTGGAGCTAGAGGGATGTGATGGCAATGTTTCCCCTGTAGCAAAAAGCAAAAAACATTCACAGTGCTCTGATACCATGAGAACACCAGAATTTATAACGGAATGTTCAAAACATCATCGATGAGAACCCTGGAAGACCAATGAGGTCCATCGCCAAAGAACTCCAGGTATCAGAGTGGACTATCAGAACTGTGGTACATCTGGACATTCGATATAAGTCATATGTAATGAGGAAAGGCCAATTCATATCGGCGAAGACACAGAGAAACCGTCTCATGCATTCAAAATGGTTGCTGAAGAAAGTGAAAAATCCCCACGAACATGGCATGCTTTTGTTTTTCTCTGACGAAAAAAACTGACCAAAATCAGAAAACAAACAGACGGAATGACAGGTGGCTATGTGCATCTCCTTCTGAAGTACCCAGGGTGATGCACACCAAATATCCGGCTACTGTGATGGTTTTAGGAGTTGTGAGCAGTGAAGGTCATGTCATGCCACCTTACATTTTCCCACAAGGACTTAGAGTTAATTCTGCTGGATACATTAATGTTCTTAAAACAGTTGTTAAGCCCTGGATAGATAAAGTATGCAATGGAAGGCTATATGTCTTTCAACAAGACTCTGCAGCTTCTCACAAAGCCATTGTAACCCAGGATTGGTTATCGGAGAATTTTTCTGATCATGTGACCCCCTAACTCGCCAGATTTAAATCCTATGGACTATTACGTGCAGAGTGTTGGTGAAAGGGAGACTAATTGACGTCCTCAAGGTACCATAGCTGCACTGAAGGCCGGCATTGTCCAGGTGATGTTCAAAATGAATAGGGACCACTTAATTGCAGCTTGTGGATGGTTTTGAGCCCGAATAGAAGCAGTCATTGAAGCCAAAGGTGGTTTCATAGAATAATTAGATAAAGAAGTATTATGAAGGATATTTGTGTCAATTTGAATTAAATATATAAATTGTTTGCTGAGATATTGCTGTTTATTTAACATTGTCCTCGAATAGCACTCACACCCTGTGTATATATATATATATATATTATTACTGTAAACATTATTTTTTGTGGTTTTGTGGGTACATATATTTGAGTTGACATCCCTGTTTTTTATTTAGTTAAACAGTGAAATTAATATCAAACATCTGTATCTCTGAGATGAAGTTTTATGATTACTTGTATTATTTACATTATTTGGACTGTTAGCCTCATCTTCAATGAACATGAGGATAACAGTCCAAATAATGTAAATAATGCAAGTAATATCCAACAGCTTAGATCAAGAAGTCCTACTAAAGTGTGTCTCCACAGAAATTGCTGCTGAATAACTTTTTTCCATCAGGAAACCACACACACAGCTGAAGTGTGCAAGTACCAATTTGGACACAGGAGAACATCCTGATAGAAGACTGTCTTTATTAGAACATCTTGATCTAGGTCAGTTGATATTAATTTCCCTGTTTAAGAAAAAAAAAAAAAAAAAACATGGATAGTGACCAGTAGCATGTAGAATGCTGGTGGGAAAGTCAAAACATTTTTTTATTATAAAAATAATATAATTTATTTTTTTTTGTGAATTAATATTACAGTAACAATTTTTTGAGGATGACAATGTTTTTTTCCAGATACAACTCCTACTGTTTAACTCATAGCTAGAGGGGGGAGATAAATTCACACCTTCCCAAATGGTATGAATTTATGTAAGTGAACGTAATGAACCTGAATGGAATTCAAACTCGGTTCTCTGATTTCCCATTCCGAGCACTATCTTCTTTTATAATCATTTCACCCCAAGAAAGTCAGTGAAGACATTAAGATGTCAGAGATTTCTGAGTGAAAGAGAATGAGAAACCTTAGCTGAGGAGATAGGACAATAAAGGAACTTTTAAAGTATTTTTTTTCTTTTTCACTTCTAGTAGCTTCTTTGTGTCTTGTTGGTATTACCTCCTTACTTGGGATAGTGTCTCTCCATAACCATCTACTTTGTGTGTCTCTTGGGTCTTGTACTGTATGAATATCATTGTAAAAAAAAAATTATTACAAAGAAACTTTTGCTAGTTCAAAAGAATGCAATTTCTTTGTGTCTCATATTTTTGTAACTTAAGTTCTTTTCTTGAAATTGGAAAAAAATTGTTTTCTCAAGCATAAATTTGTAAACGAATAATCCCCTAACTAAGAATTAACTGGATTTCTTTCAGTGTTACAAAATATTTTAATTACTTTGTATAATATTTTGGAAATTGCAAAGATTAACTGGAATCTTTTAAGGATTTAGTTCTTTATACACTCATAGAATTCCCCATGCTCCATAAATCACAAAAGGGTTTTAAAAATTTGGAAAAAGAGAAATTGGTAATTGGCAAACAAAAATTGAAATAGATTTTAAAACCTTTTCCTATTAATGTGCACATATAAATTCTACAGCCTAATGATGGGAAAAAAGCATATATTTTACTCAACAAATACTCCTTGTCAATACACTTGATTCAATTGATTAATTTATTTTTTACTGGTTATCAACCTTTTGAGGTTTTTTTCAAGTAGAAACATTTTTGGATTATAAGAATAATACTTTCATTTTTTTTTGTGGGTTAATATTGCATAAAAAATTTTTTGAGAATGACTGTAGTTTTTTTCAGATACAAGTCCTGCTGATTAACTCATAGCTAAGAGGAGAAGATAGGTTCATACCTTTCTAAAGAGTATTTTTGCATAAGGGAATGTAACAAATAGGACAGGAGTTCAAACTCAGATCTCTTATTTCTCATTCCAAGCAACAATCTTCTATTTTTAATCACTTCACCCCGTGCAAGATGATAAAGTCACTAACATGCAAGGGGTTACTGAGTGTGAAAGAGAATGAGAAAACTTTGGATAGGAGAAAAGATGATAAAAGAACTGGTTTTAGGAAGACAGAAGATGGCGATTGATGTTGCATTTAAATTTTTGAAGATCATAGGTAAGAGGGAAACAACCACAGGTGAGAAGTGTGAGAATAGAAACTATTAGAATAGTACTTATGGTTACATCTATCTATGAGTGATTTGTTTTTTTACATATAAAACTAATACTTTGTGGATTAGCTGGGTGGGGGTAATAGTGGATTAACAATTTTTTGAAAGTAATGATTTTTCCAGATACAAAACATTTTAGATTATAAGAGTAATTATACAATTCCTACTATTTAGCCCATATCTGGGGGGGGGCAAGAAGAAGTGGTAAATTCATACCTTTTCCAATGATATTAGCATGTAAGATAATGCAATGAACATGACTGGAAGTCAAACATGGTTCTCCTTAATTCAGTGGTGAATATTAATAACATAGATCAAGCTGAAGAATATTGTCATACTTGTCATACTTCATCCTGTTTGTCATACACTGTCATACTCCTTCACATTCAAACATATATATATATATATATATATATATATATATATATGGTGTATCAAAAAAATGGGTTGAACAGGGTGCTTTTTTTATAAATACTCTTGAATGTCAAAGCCGGCAGATATAAGTAAGACTTTTAAGAAAAAACGAAGCAAATAATCAAAACAAAAAAGATGACAGGCATTTACTCAAACATGTATATATACAAATATAAGTTTTAACGTAATATATATCTTTGGTAGGAGTTAGCATTCTGAAGCGTTTTTGTTGTCTCGTTAATCTAGGCATTGAACACTTTTCTTCACTGTGTAGGTAGATTTTTGTCTTTGGTACATTTTATTTCTTTTCTTGTTTGAGTTATTTTTTTGCTTAATGTGTTAGTTATTTTGGCCAGACCAATGTAGTTGTTTTTTTTTTTTATATATATATATATATATATATATATATATATATATTTAAATTGATTTTTTTTTGTATATGTTTTTTTTGCTAAATTCTAACCATGTTTCAAAAAGAAAAATGGTTAGAACTGTGTAGCGAAAAAAAACATATTTTAAATAAATCAATTTATAATATTAATGCTCTGTAAATTTACATTGAGCACTATTTTGTAAAATAAAATATCTATAAGAACACCGGATTATATATCTTACTGTTCTTTCTTTTTTTATATATACATATATATATATATACACACACACACACACACACACACACAAAAGTTTGAAAAGCCACCCCCAAAATTAGCATGAGATGAAATTGACAGAATAGTGAAAAAAATGAAAAAGAGCTCTTATAGTCATTGAAAAAAAAATAGAATCAATTATCAATCTTTATATTTTGAGAAACTTTGGCAATGAATTCCAAAAATTTGTGCTGCAGTAATCAAGGTTAAATGAGGATATTTTGATGAGAGCAAAATTTAATTATAATAATTATTTATAATGCTTTTTTTGTCATAATAAAAAAAAATCATGTATCACTTTTTTTTTTAACCATGTATAATAATTTTCTCTTCATTAAATTACAAAACAACTCTTTTTTGAGGCCAATTTAAAAAAATTGCCAGGGATGACATCAAACTTTTGATCTGTATTGTAAATATATCTTTTAGCAACATTAGTTAATTAATACAAATTTTTTTAACTTTATTGCAAAAACATTGACATGTATAATAAAATCTGATATACTGAAGAGATATAATGAAACGTGTAGGTCTTATCAGGGACCATCCTTCATCAGATCTCACAGACTGGTGCTACTGAATCACAAACAAAGAACTGTACCAAATAACAGAAACCACATCACTTGAGGACTTTCAACAGCAGCAATAACTAAAATGGTCAGCACATATAACTCGAAGAGAATATAATGACATAGTCAAGATGTTGATGTTCCTCACTACTTCAAACAAAAGGTTAGGAAAGAAACCTCCATCAATATTGAAAAAAAGCAATAACAGTGGACTTGAGAAACTTATTTTCCTGAAAAATTATTTTAATAAAAAAAGATTTTATGAATTTCAACCGAAAGTAACACAAGCTGCTCAGTCATTAAATGCAATATTTTCTTATAAGGAAACAGTTAACATTACCATTATAGACGGGGAGAACAGATACTACACTTTGATCACAGCCTAATGGCGAGAGAGTGAAGAAAAATGTAACTCAAGTAGCACTAGCTGCTCGGTCAGTGACTGCCAACTGTTTCCTTATAAGGGGACAACTAATATAACTTTTACCATAGTGAATTCTGGTTGTAGAGAAAAAATTGAAACAATAATCATAATTGTATTTTAGCACCAGCTGAATTTTGAACCCAGGATACACTCATTTTCTGCACTGTTTCTATTTGCAGTGTTCCTTCAGGATGTAGGTGATCATAACTCTCTACAACTTCCTATCCTTTGTAGCTCTAACCAGTATTTATGCACTTACTCTCCTTAAAGTCACTGTTCTGCCATACATTTGCATAAGCTTAAGTTACTCACAGTTTCTCTCTGCCCCTCTTGCATTCAATATGTCCTGTGAGTATCATATTCTCCAAGCCCTCTTTTCTCTATTCTGAAATTAAGCTCTTGTAGTAAAAAGGATAAAATCTGACAGTTAAACAATAAAAATTGAAGTTTTTTCTTTTTTTTACCTAAAATACGATTAATCGACTGTCAAGAGTTTGTTTGTTGTGCCTTGAAAATCAAGAAGAAATGGATTGTCAGTGGTCAGGAATTAATGCAAGAATTATCAACAGCATAGGACTATAATATGCATTATATATAAATATCTATCTATCTATCTATCTATCTATATATATATATATATATATATATATAGTTAATGATGAAAAGTTTGATTTAAAATAATGCAGATATACCATGTTTCAAGATTAATTATATGTATTCAGCTCCAGTAATATACTGGACTACATGTTTTATAGGTATTTTTGATCTGCATTATTATTATGGATACCTGTATACAAGCAGGTAGGTTGTAAATCTACTGATATTAATATTTCTTTATTTTTTCTTTTGCTGTTTTTTTTATATTCTTTTACCTAAAATATGAGTGATCAATTTTCAAGAGTTTGTTGTGCTTTGAAAATCAAGAAGAAAAGGATTGTCAGTGGTCAGGAATTAATGCAAGCATTATCAACGGTGTAGCATTATTATATGCATTATATGGCATAACGATATATAATTTTTTATATATCAAGAACGGTTTTGAAAGAAAAATTGTCTGACAAACTGGTGTCACAAAAATTTTTTCCATTTTGTCTGACATCTTTTCTTTCATAAATATTTATATATAGTTAATAACAAAAAGTTTTAAAAGACTTATGATTTCAAGTTTTGCAGATATACTGCTCATCAGGATTAATTGATTAATATCTGTATTTAAGTAGGTAGGTTGTAAATCATCTGATAGACCCCCTCCTTTCCTTCTATCAACATGGCTGATGATAACCTTCAGGAAAAAGACTTGTTGTGGCTTCTCAGGCTAACATTCTCAGCTGACATGAAGTGGAAAGACTATATTGAATCCATTGCTAGGTCAGCTGCTAAGAAAGTCAGTTCACTGTGTCGTGTTACACAATTTTTCTCTCCAGAAACTATATTTCATATCTATAAGTCTACCATTCATCCATGCTTAGAATATTGCTGCCACATATGGTCCAGTGTTCCTGCTATTTACCTTGGGCTTCTTGATAAAATCAAAAGAACAATCTGCAATATTATTGGTCCTGATCTGGTGGCTCAGGTTCAGTCACTTTCCCACTCCCATAAAGCTGCCTCTCTGTATCTTTTCTATAAATACTTTCATGGTAATTGTTCAGATGAGCTCTTCACTATGGTATGATTATTGTTTTATTCCCAACAATTAATGAATTATACATACAGAGACTAGTTAGGACTTTCATAGAGACAATGAGGTATTATGGTGGATGTAGTAAGAAAGGTAAGCAAGAATGTATTGTTTTGGTGTTAGGAATATTGTGGTATGTTTGGGTCAGTGTTTAAGGCTAGCTAAGCTTAACATTAAGACAGAAGAAGACCATCCTTTTCTACATTCCCCTTTTTGGCCTTGTGACACATTTTCTATTTCTTACAAATAAATAATGCTCTTCACGATGGTACCTAAAAATTTTGAATTTAAGCACTGTACTAGACTGGTGTCATGATTTAAACAATTTAGTTGAGCTGGCTAGATGTAGCCGTAAGTTCTATGTTAACAGTTTCTTTTCTCACACTTCTTGCTTGTGGAACTCCCTTCCAGCTCCATGCTTTGAAGCCAACTTTAATTTACAAAGATTTAAATGCAATGTCAATCACTATCTACTGTCCTCTTGGTTACTCTTTTTTTTCTTTCCCCTCATTATTATTTTTTCTGTTCCTAATTCTTCTATACTCAGTAACCCCCTTGTGTCTTAGTGGCTTTACTGCCTTGCATGGGGTGATACTGATTAAAAAGAAAAAAAAATTTCTACTGATATTAATATTTTTTTCTTTTTTTTTTCTTTTCCAGCGCCTGCAAAGCCAAAGTTTTTAGAGCGCCTCATTACCGGGGTTGGCTCCAAACTCAGTAAATCTCATAATAAGATTAATGATGTTGTAGCGCCAGGTAATATTGCAGAGGACAGCTCTAGTGAGGCTGTAAAGGATGCCCAAGCAGAAGGTACTAGTTGCATCTGCCCTTTAGCAGATATCAACAGGCGAAAAAGCAGCCCGGATATTTCAGACTATGAGGAAATTCATTTATATGAGGTTCCGCAGTCAAATGTTGCCCCACACTCTGAATGGAACTCACCTCGTTCGACCCCAACTTCACCTAAGCTTTCTGGGATTGTCCGGCAGCGGTGCAATGAGTTCCAGAAACTGAACACAGAGAAACCAGCCCAGGCCACCAAGATTTTGAAAGACAAAAGCCTGATGGATTGCCAAGTACCCAAATCGATGCCTTCGTCACCCCAAAATCGTGCCAAACACATCTCGGACACCATTGAAAAACTGACAAGCTCCTTGGCACCAGTTGAACATATAAAAAAGATGCCAGCCATCAAAGATGAATATCTTGCAAATTCAACGATGGCTGCTGGCTATGTGCGAGCTTTTGTGGAAAAAATCAACCAGAGTAACTGGGCTTCTTCTGACGGGGAGAACTCCAGTTCATCACGGAAGGGCAGCATGACTCGGAATGGCATTGTAAGTCTTCATGATGGCAAAACTGAGTTTTTGGGTAAGCACAGTTCAATCCATCGTGAAAAAACATCAAGCATCAGTGATCAGGGAATTAATTCTTTGTCTCCTGAGGAGTTATTTGATCGAAGTTGGTCAGAATCAGATACATTTGAAGATGACTATAGTAGTAATGATGACAGTTGTCTGGAAGATGCAGTGGCACCTTCAGAAAATGAGGTAAGGGTATGACTTTTTTTTTTTTTTTTTTTTTTTTTTTTGGCAAAGTTCAACAAACGTATGCACACAAAAAAAATAGTGTGTCTAAAAACAGTGTGTCCTTAAACTCTAAAGGATGTTTTTTTCTCTTGACACTACTGTTACTGTGTATTTCTATGTCAAATCTTGAGAAAAAAGAAAAAGGCATGAATCCAGTTTCATATGTTTGGGTTTTATTAAAATTCTAAAAATAGTTTTTTTAAAGCAGAAAAATAACTGAGGAAGTATACAGTTATTTTGCAGGTACATATATTAAACTTAACCATCTTTTGTTTTGAATTATCACTTGGGTATAGTCAGCCATCAGTAAGCCTGGAACCTTGTTACATATATATACATACATGCATGCATACATATATATATAAATAAAAGTGAACATTGATGTCAACACTTACAGACGACAGGCTGTTTCATGCTAGACGCAATCGTCATGCCACGAGTGTTGTTTTTTTCTCGGCTATTTATATATATATAGGTCAGTGGTGCATTGTGGGTAGTCTATTTTGGTGGTTATTTTGTCGGAAGTCATTTATTTGTTTGGGTTAAATTATTTTGCTTGTTTTTATTTACTTTTATTTTTTATTTTTATTTTTTATATTTATTTATTTTTATCTAACCCGTATATATAAATAGCTGAGAAAAAAAACAACGCTTGTGACCTGATGATTGTGTCCAGCATGAGACAGCCTGTCACCTCTAAGTGTTGACTTCAATGTTCACTTTTATATTTACACATGCTCTATCTCTGATATTGAGCACTTTATCCCATAAATATAGCACACATTAAGTGTATATTTCTTCATATATATATATGTGGGGTTCAGCGTACCCGGTTTAAGGAGAATTTGATACGGGATACCCTGCCCACAAAATACAATGCAAATTTCAAGAAGAAACAACACGATAAGGAACGTTTATAAAAAATAGAACATTGTATATTTATTATCTTGTAAATAGGGTAAAAAAGATTAATGTTTTAGTTCGTTTAAGCAAAAATGTGATTTTGATAAAAATGTCTGTGTTCGCTGTCTTTTTACAGAGTAGCAGAATAATGTCTGTTTCTTTTGTTTTTGTATAGTTGTAAAATGAAAAAGGGGCGAGCAATTTAAGTTGAAAAAAGAGAGTGTGATGAGGAATAAAGATGAAAGGAAAATGTACTTATGAATTGTTTTGGAGTCGGTTGTAAATTTGTTGTTGTTCCTTCCTACTCCACTTTTCGGGTTGAGTCAGTGATGGAATTTACTGTCAATCTTCTGTGATCTTTTGCGCCCTTCTCTGACTGACTGACTGACTGGCGACTGACTTGAAAACTCTGTATTTATTGTTGACTTTTTTTTTCACACTGGCTCGTTATCTTTTTTTTGGTTTAGCAAATCGCCTCCTTTCATTGGTCCGAAAATTAATTTCACACCTTATTGTGAAATCTTTTTTTTTGGTCGTTTTGATCCGATTTTGCGGTGTGCAAATCTACTTTGTGTTTTTTTAGTCATTTGTTGGAATATAGGATTTGTATCCTATATACATATATATATATAAAACATACAAAAAAAGTCCAAAATTACCTTCTGTGAGTATAAATTTATTTCAATCAGTGCTAAGTACCTTGGCCTTATTTAACTCTGGCAAATGGACTGTATTAGAATTTAACTTAGACGGCAGTTGAGAAATTGATACCAGACCTACCCAAATTGAAGCCTCAGCCAGATAAAATGCCCCAGTTGGTATTGAGGTGAGGATAGAAGGTATCTCTCTAAAATAGAAGAGGCTTGATAGATCCAACCTGGATATTAACCTTATGACCCTGGGTTGGGTTTCTATGAAGAATGAGTACTAAATTATACTTATTATAGAGATGTATTAACAAGATTAACAATAAATTGTATTTAGACAATTATATATATATAGGATTAATACAAGTATTAAATTTGTCACTTAACTGATTGATGTTATATTCAGCATCCTGACTCTAGAGTTTTGTAGATGAACCTTTTTGTAATTATTTGGTCTCCTTTGTTAGGAGGTATCAGCAATTGTCTGCTGATTTTCTCATTTTCATTATTTTTTTATTAAGTTAAAACAATAATTTATGTGTTTTTTGTTGATGGTAGGTTGATTTTATCTTCTTTGTGTGTATGTATGCCTGTATGTGTATGTATGTGAACATTTGTAGAATGCTGTGGTAATTTCTTTTCATTTCCTCATCTCTTTCATTATTTCTTTTCCTCCCCTTTTGGCTCTGAGTATCATTATATATTCGTAAAATTCATGGTAAGTAATCAAAATGAGTCCTAGTAATATCACATATTAAAACTGATCTACAGAAGAGAGCTCAATATATTTATTATAGAGCATATATGAATAAAATTCAATACCCCATATATCCACATATCATATGGGGTATTGAATTTTATCTACATGTAATTCAACTTATATAAGACATATTAAAAAGTGGAAAAAGTTTACTTGTGATGTATTTCGTCCTTCATTGGATGAAATGCATCACAAGTAAACGTTTTCCATTTTGTTATAAAATTTCCCCAATACTGTTCTTGATATATAAAAATATATATCATTATCTCACATAAGACATATATTTATTAGACATCAAATTATATCACTCGGCATCCTCCATAATTTATCTTGACTTTCAGTTAGTCTGGAATATGTTAATAGGCATTCTTAATTTTTAAAATTCTGAAAAAAACTAACAAAAATTATAAATTGATTTTGCAATATGAAATCCTTACATTTGCTTTGATGAAGTCCATCAGAGGATGAAAAGTATTGCCTTAGATAAGTTTTCCATTTGTCTTTATTCATATACATATATATATATATATATATATATATATATATTTTGTGGGGGGTGTTTGTGACTATTTTAAGATTATTTAGATGGGATAGGTTATTCTGGATAGTGGACGTGACAGAGTTGGTCGTTTACAGAAAGGCTACAAATAAAAATGATCTGATCAGTTTCTACTCAAACCACTCTTCTAAAATTAAATCTGGAATTGTTATACATTTCTATCTAAGAGCATTAAGAATCTGCAGTTCGCAATATTCACTTAAAGAAGAAACATACGTAGAAAACATATTCAAAAACCTACAATACCCATATCATTTCATCCACAATGCAAGAAGAAAGGCATACAAAATATACAACCAAAACAAAACTATTAACATAGTCCACAATAGTAAATTACATGAAAACAAATACATAATGCTACTGACCAACTCTGTCACGTCCACTATCCAGAATAACCTATCCCATACATATATATATATATATATATATATATATATAATTATTTATTTAAAAATATGATTCCAACTCACGACATAAGAGGTCTCATGTTTCAAAACAAGAGCCGAAAACTTCAATATAATTATTTGAATTAAATTGAGTTAAAGTGAGCTCTGTTCCATCTTCAAGCGAAATTTTTTTGGGAATAACGTATTTCTGAAATTTACGTGTTTTAATAATTGAAATCAAAATTTCCATGGTAACAGCTAGGGCGAATTGTTTAAATTGGGTAGGCGAGTGTTGGGTGTTAATAAGTATCAGTATAGAGTTACTTTCATAGATGTCAAGTCAGGGAAAGGTAGGGGTGTCTAAATTTGAAACGGAAGATGTATTAACCCTAGTCTGGCATGCGTGTCTATGGAGATTTATTTATTTTTTTATTTTATTTTTTATGAAAGGGATTTGTGCATATAAAAAACTGACGTAACATTTGTTTTTTGACGACTTCATAAAGGGTTATCTTTTTTGTAGGATATTTAAACTATTTATTTGGGCTATGGATTATAAAAGTTTTTATATTGTATGCTTGTTCTTAGCTAATTATTCAGACCATGAATCTGATGATTGGGCTATGGATTAATCAAGTTATTATATTGTATGCTTGTTTTTAGCTAATAATTCAAACCATAAATCTGATGATGTCAACAGAAAACCGTTAACTCATGTCTATTGTTTAATAGATTATTATTATTTAGAAGCTTACTAATGTGCAATTTCTCATGGAGGCACAAAGGGCATGGGTCATCCCAAGTTTTACATGTTCTAGCACTGTTTATAATTTTCCATTTTACTTTAGGTGTCCTATTTGTTTCCTTCAGTTGCCAAAAATATTTAGATAGGGAAGTCTGATTTCTTTTATTTATATTATTGAAAGAGCACTTATGCTGCCTCCATCTATCTTTAAAATCATTCTTCGTGAACCCAATGTATATCATATTAGTGCTAGGACTCTCAGTGGATGATATAGTACATTGGTATACCACAGATTTAATGCAGCATTTATTTTCTAATGGGCAGTCTTCTAGGTTTCTGCAGTTACACAATTTTTCCCTTTTATTGTCTGATTTAAGTGCAGGGTTTTTATTAATACTATTCAGGCATGGGGGTTTGTTCAAGATGTTATTATTGTGTTTTTTTATTATACGTTCAAGATTTTCAGAGCAGCTGTAACTCAGTTTTAGGGTGTTCTTATTGAATATATTACTAAGCTTACTATTGGTGGAGAAGTGTTTATCAATTAGAGCTAAGAATTTCTGTCCTAGTTTAATACTAACCATTTGGTTGAACGGAGGGGTATACTAAATGATTTTTCTTTTCCTGTTTTTTTACTTATGGCCAGTGCAATCTATCTATCTATCTATCTATATATATATATATATATATATATATATATATATATATATATATGTCAGTGTGTATTTGTTCCTGATCAAATCAAATTCATAAATAATTATATTGGATGTACCACTACATTACATCTCTCAAACCATAGCTCAATTAAGACCCATTTAAACGCACAACCTACCCAACACTGTCTGTCTGCAACATGCTCATAGAAAATACAACTATAATAGACTCATCTCCATGTAAAGGTTAAAATAGAAAAAAAACCAACAATCAATAATAGCAAATATGAACATGGACACAATGTGCT